CTGTGTAGGCCTGGCAAAGCTTGAGTGCCGCCGGGCCATCTCGCTGCCAGATCTGTGCATGAGCCTGTCGTTGATGATTTTTCATCTTGGTATGGTCGGGGGTCCAGAATCCGCACAAGATGCACCTGTGCTTGAGTTCTTGAGCTTCCGGTCGGGAGGCTATGCTGCTGAGCTTGTCTTTTGGCGAACTCTGCACCGTAGCCCGAAGGGCTGCTAAGCCTCTGAGAGCTTGGCCTTGCAGCTGTTCCTCGGTGGTGAGAGATAGCTGGCGTAGGCGTTCCGGTTGCGGACAGGCTCCCGACAACAAGTGGTCGCGTAGGCCCTTCCATTGATGGAAGGCCTTGTCGCATGCGGAACATACTGGTAGACCGTCCCTGGAGTGCCGACTACGATCAAAGGTAGGAGGAATGTACCTCTTTACTTGATCACGATGCATCCTTGTGATGTGCATATGTAGACCATGCGCAGAGACAAAGCCAGACGCACAGTGAGGACAGTCGTGCAACCGCTGCTGCGAGGCCTCGGTGCTCGCCGGAAGATTGTCCACCTCGCGTAGTATGTCCTGTAGGTCCTGTAGGACATGTCCCAGACACGTGACATCACCGTACACTGCCATGTCGGTAGGGTTCGAGCCTGTGACCGAGGCCGGCGCGTCAGGACGCAGTCTGGCCCACGGGCCCAGCTGCACCGTAGGTGCACTGGAAGTAGTCATCCGCTGGACGGAAGTGTCAGCCTCGGGGGTAGGGATGTCGGGTCGTTTGCTCAGTCTTTTTAGTCGCGAAGCCATCCGAGCTCGGATTTTTGCCACCGGGTCCTGAATCGAATGCAGCTGATATAGGTCAGCTGTGGAGATGCGGCTGACATGGACAGGCTGGTTAAGCACGGAGCGTAGCTTGTGTGCATACCAACCTCGGAGATGTCTGGCTGTTTCCTCCGTGAGGCCGACTTCAGGAAGTCCTGTGACCAGAGTGGCCCATACGGTGGTGAACCAAACCTTCAACCTGGCCATTGGCCCTGCAGTTCTGCGGTTGTAAACAAATCGCTTGACCTGCTGGAGCTTTTTGGCAGCTTCCGCTATACGGAAGCGCAGCGTTTGCATTTCGAAGTTCCCATAGGAGATTTGAATGCCCAGGTACTTGATTTGTGTTTCAAGTTTGTAGGCGGGGAAGGACTTGTGTTTGCCCAGTCGCCAGTGACGCTGGAGTTTGCCGTCTTGGTCGGGAAGCCAACAGGTGTGCTTCTGGAGCGTGGCCTCGGCCTCTCTGCCACTGAGTTTGACTAGAATGGCACATTTGGTTGGATTGACGCGCAGGCCTAGTTTCTCTACCTCCGACAAAAGCTGTAGGATCATTTTGTGAGCTGCGTCCACGTCCGCTTTGTTACGGATTGTGCGATGCATGGTAAAGTCATCGGCGTACCCAGTGAAGTATCTGCGGACATTGTCCCAGCCAAATGTGCCTATCAGCCTGTGCAGAAGACGGCCTGTTAGAACGGAAAACAACGTAGGGGCCAGCTTGCAGCCTTGTTTGATGCCTGTGGTGGTTTCCACATCCTGGTGCGCCCCTTGTGAATGGAGCCTGTACTTGGATCGATGATGCAGGCCGTGTATCAGTTTTTGTAGGGAGGGATCTGCGCCTAGTTCATCAAGCAGAGACAAGATTTCGCTGCGGGATACAGTGTCGAATGCCTGTGACAGGTCTAGTGCAAAGGTGATGCCGCCGACTAGACCAACAGGACATTGTCCCCGCTGCTGATCCGCTCTGGTGAGGTTCGCATTGCGACACAGTTGCCGAGCCTCTCTCAGGTGCTGTACCACTCTACTCTGAGCGTCAGAGAGACCCCGCCCCGGTAGGTATGCAAACTGAGGGAGAGGCTTCATGTATGGCAGCGTGAGAGGTTCCAGGAGCTCCTTAGCCGTTCCCGCCAGGCCTTTAGCATCCGGCCGGAGTATTCCCAGCGGTCTTAGCTGGGAAGGCTTGTCAGCCGGCTTGCCCGGTTTGGGGATTAAGCAGAGATCCGCTCGTGTCAGATCATCGTCTAGTGGCTGGTCCTGTGTCAGAGCAGAACAGTAATGTGAGAGCGCCTCGGATACCGGCTGTGCGCAGAGCTTCCAGGCTGCGGCCGGTGCTGCTCCTTTCGGAACTGCCTTTCCAGGTTTTATCGAAGCAATGTGTTTCGCCAACTTGGTCTGCGGCAGTAGGGGCAGAAGTCCCGCGTCAGAAGGAAGCGGTGGGTGCGCTGCAAAGACCTTGGTGGCGTACTTGCCCAACTCTGCAAGTTCGTTTGCGGGGCTGAGCAAGAAACCGTTCGAATCCTTGAGCTGAGCCTTCAGAGCTGGTTTCCACGGGCGAAGATGCTTGAGAGTGTGGTATGCTAGGTGTTGGTCTCCCTGATTGAGAGCTTGGTCCACCTCGGCAAGGAACCGCTTGGTTTGGTCTTTGCGAGACTGCTTGACCGCCAGTTTGTGCTGGTCGTATAGCAGTTGACGGGCAGCTGCGTCTGTAGCTGATTCAGCACTGGTGTGAGCATTGCTCCCTCGTGCAGAGCGCCACATTCTTCTAGCAATGCACGTCTCCGGACTTTCTGGCATTGCCACCGGGGTCTTAGGGAAAAACCTGGAGGAGGCTTCGCCAAGAAGGCGATCCCATGACGCCGGCTGCATGTCCGGAGTGAGACGGGTTGTGACCCACTCAAGCATTTGCTGAGCCGGCAGCGTGTTGTCCCTCACAGCCGCTTGCAGGGCAGTAGCGTCAAACTGATGTGTCTGTATCTGAGGAGGCGGCAGATTCCAGTGACGTACTGGCTTGACAGTCGCACTGATGGGCAGGTGCCCGCTTTTCTTCCAGCTGCCCAGCGGAAAAGCCGCCAGTGGCGTGGAGGCCTTGGCAGTGCCTCCGGCTGACGCCTCTCGCGTAAGCACAAAATCAATTTGTGTGCGTGTATCCCCCTGTTGGTACGTAAATAATGGCTGAGGTCGCCACGTGTTGAGGGCCACCAAGCGATGACTCAACAGGAAGTTGGTGAGCTCTGGTTCGTCAGGTCGCGGTTCCTGTGGGCTTATGAGCTCTGGACCTACCAGCCTAGGCTGCTTTTGCAAGGAGCTATTGAAATCACCTGCGATGACAAGCGTGTCTCGGTGTGGCACCCTTTGCACACATCTGCCAAGAGCTTTTAGGACCTGTGCCCTGTCCTGACGATTGTTCTGCACCTGTTTGGCCGGTGACCAAACATGTTGGTATACAGCAATCAGGTGGATGCGGGCCCCGTGCCAGTCAAACCTGACTTCCAGGGTTCTGCCTATGACATGTTCCTGCCATCTCACACCTTTAGGTTGTATGTGTGGGGACAGAAAGACCATTACTCCGTCCGCGCGGGTTGTCGAGGGTTCCTTGCGGGGCGGATGGGTCTTGTCGTCATTAGGCATTGCCTCTGCAGGTGGCTGTATGTGGGCCTTGCCCCCGCGTTGTTTGCGTCTAGAGGCTTTCGGATCTGCAGCAGAGGCAGACGAGATGCAGTACCAGCCTGCAACACTAAATTCAGCCGTAGCCTGCCAGTGGGTCTCCTGCAGCACAAGAACATCACAGGTGTGACGTGCCTCAGTGGAAAGCCATGATTTGACTTCCGACCATTGCTGCTGGCCAAGGTGGCCTGCATTCCAAGACAGTACACGGAGGGGCCTGGTGGCCTGTCCTGCTCTAGACCGTGGTGCGAAAGACTGAGTGGAACCTGGCCGCGGTGGGCAGTTGCCCATGCGCCTGAGAAGAGCAGGGGTCATGACCTGACCTCGGTAGGAAACGGGTTGCTGGCTTGCAACCACCTTTCTGCAAACATGCTTGAACGAATTCTTCCTGATCTGAGAATAATTTTGTGAGTGCACTGGGAGCAGCGCCATCCGCTATTTCGTCACAAGGCAAGCCGAGTGACTCCCTCCACCACGCGGTTAGTGGAAACCCTACCGCCTGCCCAGTGGGCCCGTGTTAAGACAGGGTACTGGGTCCAGGAATTGGGACCTGGCGGCTCAGACGCAAACTGTTGGCACATGGCACATGGCTCAGCGTGAGGAACCTACCCTTAGTCGTTCAGAGAGGGGCCTGTTTGAGACCTCTAGCAACGCAAGGTTGGAATCCAGAGCCTGTTCGAAAGCCAGCGCGAAACTTCCAAAACGTCTGAGCCGTGGCGGCTGCTACTACTACTACTACTACTACTACTACTACTACTACTACTACTGCTACTACTACTACTACAGCAGCAGAAGCTGCAGTAGCAGCACCCCGCTCCTCCTGCGACGACGACGACTACTGCCCCTACTGCTACCGCGACTGCTTCAACTTCTGCGACTCCTGAAGCTACTGCTGCTACTGCTGATACTGCTGCTTCTTAATGCAGCAGCAACAGCAGCACCGCACCAGGTCTGGAAAATAAACAGCAATGGCATGAACAAGATAAAACAAATGAGTTCAATGGCACAAATCCTAGCGATAGTGCTAGTCAATACAATCGCTATGGTGATACCAATAAAACCGCCATGTCGGATGTGATTGCGTTGTACGATTTTGCAAATAAAGCTGGTGATAGTGGCGATGCTGACGAGGCTCACGATGGTGATATTGGTGGATGACGAGGATGATGATGGTGATGGTGATGGCGGTGCTGGCGGTGGTGTCGATGAAGATGAGATATGATAGTGAGGAGGAGGAGGAGGAGGAGGAGGAGGAGGAGGAGGAACGATGACGCTGTCGATAATGCTGTTGATGCCGCTGATGCTGATGCTGATGCTGACAATGACTGTCATCATGATGATGATGCTGATGATGATGACGATGATGATATGATGGTCGCGATAAGTTGATCCCTGTGTTCATGGTGTGCTTTTTGCTGGTGGTGGAGCATCGCTCTCTCAGCAGATTGGATGTCAAGGTGATTCTAGAAGTGCTGCCAAATCCTGGCTGCTGCCTGCACATGCACAGCTCTTGATGCTGGTCACCCTGCAAGGGCAGTACTGGAAGAGGCGTATCTCGCAGCAGAGCTCAACATTGGGCTCTAGCCACCTGCGCTTCGGGAAGCCAGAGAGAGCCCAGAAGCCTCACAAAGCCTCTTGGACGACAGTGACTGCGATGATGTCTGCACTTGTTGAAAAGAAGACTGGATCAAAGCAGGGCATTGCGATGCGATGGGCCGGTGCCTGTCTCGAATTTCCACGGCTCCCAGCAGGACGCGCCTCGGCAACAGCAGGGCCCACTTTCCCAACCATTTAGGATTGGGTTTGGGATGTGAAGCTGGGTTTTCATCTCTGACCGAAACACCCCACTAGGGTGAGTTTGTCCTCTGTGTCAACAGCAGAGACTTGCTTCGGAAACACTCATATGTTAGCTATCACTGCATTCACATCGTGTGCAGGATTGCTGGGCTTGGTCGCCAGGAATCTGAAGTGCAAAACCACTGCTGGACGACAGAGTCGGTCGCAGCTGCATTGAAATCTCTGTGTTTCGGCTTAGTGGTTCGCGCTTCCAGAAACAAGCCGTCTGGTCTAACCGGCTTCACATGCAAGCCTATTGGTGACGTCCTTAAAACAGGCAGTGCTGCAATATTGTCGGCAAAACGGACCATAATCATCATCACTACGACAATGCAGTCAATCTAGTCGTCGTTGTCGACGTCGTCGTAGTGGTCGACGTCGTAGCAGTGCCAACAAACGTAGCTGTTGCAGTAGCAGCAAAAGTGACAGCGGCAGCAGAAGCAGCAGCAGCAGCAAGATTAGCAGGAGGAGGAGGAGGAGGAGGAGGAGGAGGAGTAGTAGGAGAAGAAGCAGCAGTTGAACAAGTAGCAGCACCACAGCAGAAGGAATGATAGTGGTTGTCGTGGTAGTGGTAGTGGTAGTCGTAGCAGTCGTAGTAGTAGTAGTAGTAGTAGTAGTAGTAGTAGTAGTAGTAGTAGTAGTACTCGTCGTCGTCGTAGTCGTAGTAGTCGCGTGGTGGCAGTAGTAGTAGTAGTAGTAGTAGTAGTAGTAGTAGTAGTAGGAGGGGCGCGGTAGCAGTCGTGGTCGTGGTCGTGTTCGTAGTCGCAGTCGGTCGCAGTGGTAGTGGTAGTAGTAGTAGTAGTAGTAGTCGTCGTCGTCGTCGTCGTCGTCGTCGCAGTAGCAGTAGTCGTCCTAGTAGTCGTCGTAGTAGTAGTCGTTGTGACAGCAGGAGTAGTAGCAGTAGAGTCGTCGTAGTAGTAGGAGTAGCAGTAGCAGTTGAAGTAGCAGTAGTAGTAGTCGTCGTCGTAGGAGGAGTAGTAGTAGTAGTAGTGGTAGTAGTACCAATATAATAATACCAGCGATATGAATAAGAATAGTAACAAAAAATAATCATAATCATAAGACTTGCAGAAATAGTTGTGATGCCTGCAAACATATCAACTATGATACTGTTTGTACCAAGCAGTAGCATGCAGTAGCAGTAGCAGGGGTAGCAGTAGGAAAGACCAAAAACCGCCAAACCCTGTTCCCAATCTCCAACTTACCCCTGACATCAGCCCCTCAAGCCGCCGACAGTGGGGCTTCCACTGGAAGGCGCAGAAATTGGGATCGCTCCAGCCTGAAGTCAAAAGAGCGCAGGCTACATAGGGTGTGTAGTCGTCTGCATATGGGGAGTTGCGTGTGGGAGTGTTGCGCTTCGGTCTCGTTCTGCTATCAGCGAGCGAACCTGATGTGAAGTGATGTCCCGTCGCACACTTACTTTATCTTTCAGCCTGAATGAGTAACCTGAAAATCACAGTGAACCCCCAATCACAAAACTGTAAGCGAAATACTGACGCCACTCCAACACCTCAAATCCAAAGCCCAAAAGCACTCACTGTTAAAGGGAGAAGCACATCTTCGGGCTCCGGGCTGGACGCCCTGCAGCAGAAAACGACTTCCTCATTGGCAACTTTCGCCCAAACCACTGAAAATATTGAGCTTGCCTGCGTAGGTTTGTCTGCTCTATTGTCGTCGTTTATGTGAGCTGTGATGTTCTGATCATGCTTCTTGCTGTTGTTGGGACTGTGACTTTTCTCACACCGTGCCGTTCGTCCTACAGCTAATGCCAACGTGAAGAAGGAGGGCACGATGTAGTTGCTAGTGCTGCTGTTCTTGTTGTCGTTGCTGTTGTCGCTTCTGTTGTAGGTTTTGTGGTTCTAGGCAACAGCCCCAGCGGTGGGCGGCAGCGGCGTTGGCACTAAGTGTGATGACTGTTCTTGGTGCGCCGGAGCAAGCTTACTGGTCTTGACACGGCAACGCAGATCATGAACAAACAGCCAGGTTTAAGCTTTCCGCCAGGATCTTCTGTCCGGCCAGCCGTCGGGGCCTGAAGCATCGGCATAAGTGGTTTCGATGTAGATATGGGGTTTCAGTGTAGGCCGAGCCAAGGGTTCCAATGTAATACAAGTGGCTTGGTAATGCATGCCTTGGGATCAGCAATACGGCGTCATCGCCGTGAAACTGCTAACTGTTACACCCACCAATGAGCTAGCCTCTCCTCAGCTACAACCCAAGCGCCATGAATTTCTTCTACTGGTGGTCAAGGTTTGAATCTCGAATGCACGGCCCAACATCCAAAAGCCCTGTGTAGCTGTAGGCTTGAAAGACCCTCCGCAGCAGCCCACCTCGAAGTGAGGCGCCGTGTTGCAGGTCTCCAACGTCTCGGAAAGATTGGGGCCTGGCAGTCGGGACCTTTTGAAGCACAATTTTCAAGTCAAAGCAATTGCAGTTAGACTCCAGAGACTTGGAAACATCGTCTCCTGCCACGCTTCTCAATGACACACCTACAACACAACTCGAGTCCTTCAGAACCCTCTCATTGGCGGCAAGGCAGTCCGGCACCTTCATTGGCCTTCGACGGCAGCGCCGTCGGAGGGAGCTGCGGACGAAGAGCCTTGCAAATACTTGGCTGCAGGCACAACACAGACAATCGAAACCGAAGACTGCAAATAGTTGAAGTCAACCCAGTGATATACCTGGTTCTGACCACAAGACCCCATATGAAGGGAGACAGCGGGAGACGAGCATCGAAAACCTGGGCATTGGCAATCCACCCACAGTACATAACATCGGCATTCTCGTTCATAAGAACACGAGACCCGAGAGGAATCTGTGCGGAACAACAACCCCGACAGTCCTACAGCAAACTGCGGAAGACGGAAAGGCCACAGACCCCGGCATTGGCCAACTGGCACTGAAGCGGAAGCTTCCTGCGACACCCTGGCGCACCTTTGTGTCTGAGGTTGACGTGCCCGAAAGCCGGGGCACTGAATCGAAAGAGCACGAATCTGCTAGACCTGGGAAGGCGGAACAAGGCACTGGTTGCATCGCACAGACAGGAGCAGCTGCTTGAGAACAGGCGCTGCCAGCTGTGTCTGCAAAGCATAACTCCAGTCATGTGTAAGCGCACCGGCCTGTCAGCGAATGGGTCTTTTGGACCTGACGCAGACATACACAATAAAGTCAATAAAGCAAAAGAAAGCACACTCACTTCCCAGTCAAAAGAACGAACTGCTTGGCGCCACACCGCCGTCGCAGACGAACAACAACCCATGGCCTCGACATCCCGCAGAAATCGGGACTCTACCACTGGAAACTGTAAAATTGATCTGGGCCCTCAACGGAGTTGTCTGGAGATCTGGGAGTGACAGTAGCGACCTCCGAGTCCTGCGGAAAAACGGCACAGGCTTGATGAAGCAACTCGCCTTTGTGAGCCCGCCTCCCGACTAACGCCAAGGCCCATCGCAAACGGTGACCGAACTCCGGAAAATCCCAAGCTCGGGCACCTTCAACCTGCGGGACAATAGCAGGCTTGGCTTCCCACTTCGCAGGTTGCTATACCCGACGAAGTGGCAGTCTTAAGAACACAGCGCCTCAAAGCATCAACGCCAGCCGCTCCAAATCTGCACAACACTGTATGAAACTTCCAGTTCGGTGATGCTGTCTGTTTCGATCTGCCAAAGTACCATGTGCTGTCTCAGTTGTAGGTATCTCGGACTACACTTGGTTGAAAAGCTGCAGACCAGGATCTGGACGGGCATCGTGCAGGCTGGCTGCAAGACATGCCAGAATCAAACTCGCTAAATGCGTGGGCAATTGGCTTCGCGACCTGAAAGATGTACCGCACAACCTTTGAGGACATCCTGTGAAATGGAATCCACGAAGATCTGACAAAGTTTTTTCCAAAACACGCTGGCTTCAATGCAGCAGCTTCGTGACCATTTCGACATACACGAAGCCATGGAAGACGGCAGACCCCTGCTACCCGCCTCGAAAAGCCTGGCTCCGTGCATAAAGTCGAAGCACACAAAGTAACGCATGCCAGATGTACTTTCGCCTAAATTATTAAAAAGACATCACACGAACGAAATATCACAAACTGTCATCACCAGACAGGATCAGCACCTCAACTCCACTCAACTCTACTACTACCAAGGACATGCTTGGCGCTATGCCCTGTGCTCCGTACTCCTGGTTCAAGAGCTCTAGCTCCATCAAATGCAGGGCTCGCAATCGGGCTTGGCAATGCTAGGAAAGAACACCCGCCAGCTTGCGGGTTGATGCACGAAGCGTCAACTAAGTGTCTACAAGGCAAGCGTGGATGCATCACAGGCTCCAAGCGAACGGCAGGGGTCACTTGAGCCCAAATACCTTTCTTCTTCTTCTTCTTCGGGTCGGGGCTCTGATGGCCCCGGGCTGGCTCGCTCTCTCTGTCTCTCTCTCTGTCTCTCTCTCTTTCTCTATCGCCTTCTCGTGCATGTCTTTGCGTTTCTAGTCTGGGTATACGTGCGATCTGTTGGACGGTCCCCAAAAGCCACGAGCACGTGCAACCTGTCTCTCTCTCGCCAGCCCTCTGCATCCGTTTCTTCATAAAGAGATAGATTAACAGGATCTTCGATCGTAGCCCAAGCACTGATGCCCGTCGACCTTGGACCGGTTTCTGTTCTTCTAAGCACAGGCTTGCAAAAACCACTCCCCCCGCACAGAAAGCACCCTTTTTGGCAGGGCCGTGGAACATTGAAGAGCTCGCCCCTCCCTCTTGCCATGTTTGCCGCTGCTGCCTCACCCTGTCCCTCTTTGTCTCCCCGTCCTTTTCGCTGTCTCTCTCCCGCTCCGTCTCTCTCTCTCTCTCTCTCTCTCTGTATCTCTCTTTGCTTTGCTTTGCTCCGGGGCAAGAAGAAGGGGCAGTCCCCCTTCTCCGCTCTGTCGAGCTCTGTATCTCTCTCTCTCTCTCCCCCGCTCTCTCTTTCACCCGTTTCGTTCTCTGTCCGTCTCTCTCTCGCTCCTCTTCTTTCTGTCTCGCTCTCTGTCCCCCTGTGTTGCGGATCCTTGCAGATCATTCAGCTAGTAAATCCAAGGATCGACATTCCTTGACGCATAACACGTGCTTGAATTTGAGAATTTGGTCCTGGTGTTTTCTGTTGAACAGCTTGAACTAGCTGAACCTAAGGACCAACATCCCCCTGCTGAGTTTGCACTGCAATCGACTCTATATTGACTGTATTGTTGGAGGGAGGCGGGAGACTTGGGGCCAACAGCATTTCTCCCTGTCTCTCTGTCTCTCCGTCTCTTTCCGTCTCTCTCTCTGTCTCTCTGTCTCTCGGTGTCTCTGTCTCTCTGTCTCTCTGTCTCTCTGTCTCTCTGTCTCTCTGTGTCTCTGTCTCTCTGTCTCTCTGTGTCTCTGTCTCTCTGTCTCTCTGTCTCTCTGTCTCTCTGTCTCTCTGTGTCTCTGTGTCTCTGTGTCCCTGTCTCTCTGTCTCTCTGTCTCTCAGTGTCTCTGTGTCTCTGTCTCTCTGTCTCTCTGTCTCTCTGTGTCTATGTCTCTCTGTCTCTCTGTCTCTCTGTCTCTCTGTCTCTCTGTGTCTATGTCTTTCTGTGTCTATGTCTCTCTCCCTCCCTCTCTCTTCTTCCGCCGGGCATGAGGGGCTGTTAAGACCCCTCGGCCACTAGGGCCCCCCCATATTTTGTGGGGACTTTGGAGGAGTGTGAAAGTGTTTCGTAGTTGGTTTTCCCCCCTAGGCGGATCATTATTCAGCGAAATCAAAACAGCGCATCCCATAGTAAAACAATTGCAATGTTGTGTGATCCCCCCCAGGTACCTTCATTATGCTCTACGATCAGTTCTGCCTGTGACGGTCCGGGATTTCTTTCAAAAAACAAATAACGTGATACATAACAGGCCAATACCAGATAACTAATATGATTCCCGTATGACCGTTTGACCAGGCACGACGCGTTCCAGCTTTATCTGCTTTTCGGTCTAGCTACTACGTAATGTGCAATTCAAAAGGTATGGCTCTCTCTCTCTCTCTCTCTTTCTGCCGCGCAGAAGGGTCGCGGTGCGACCCACAGGCCTAAGCCCGCCCGACCACCCCCTGGTTTATGGAGTGATCGGCTTCTGGGGTACTCCTGAGTGCGGCACTGTACTACTGGGTGTGGCCCAAACTTTCGAGCTGGCGAACACTAAACACAACACAACCCCCGCCTCATCCCCGCGCCCCTATGGCTAGCTTATGCGCCAACTCGGTGAAAGTTTTTAGGCACCCCAAATGCATCGCAACAGCACGGTTCAAACTTATTGCATGCTACGGCTGTTCGATGTTCTCTCTCTCTCTCTCTCTCTCTCTCTCTCTCTCTCTCTCTCGGGCATAGAGGCCGGTCAGGGCCTCCGGGCATCGTGCCCACCCGAAGCGTTTTCGGGCTTACGGAGGCGTGAAGAACGAGCGTAGCCCATCACACAGCTATTGCCATATAGTATACGATAGTGACATTAAGATGATCGTATGCTCTCCAAACACATATGCATGATCGCCAACATTCCCCCGCTGTGGCAAAAAAGGAGGTAACCAGATTAGCCGCTCCCTCTCGCCCTCTCTGTGGCTCTGTCTCTCTGTCTCTCTCCCTCTCTCCCTCTCTCCGTATCCCTGTCATAACAGTTTTCAGTACCATTACCAGTATCATTAACGTTATCCTTATCCTTGTCCTTGTCGTTGCCGTTATCGTTGCTGTATCATGCTTTATCATTTTACTTTGTATCATGTTACTCGTTCGCTAGCTGTGTTACTATGATCACTGTAATACCGTCATCGTTAACATCACTATCAATTAACATGATTGTCGTGCAGGGAGTAGTACTGCAGCATCATTAACATAGCGCGTTGTAGTGGAGATTGGTGTCGTTTAGTGCCGTGCGGTGTGGTGGAGTGTCGTACAATGCCGTGCGCTGCCACGTGCACTGGAGGGTTTTGTATATTGTGGCACGCTGTGGCGTCGCATCGTGTCACGTCGTGTAGTGGTAGTGTAGGGTGGTGTAGCGTAGCGTAACATAGCGTAGCGTAGTGCACTGTATATGTATATGTAGATTAGTAGGTAGGTGGGTAGGTAGGCAGGTAAGTAGACAGGAAAGTAGTATAGGTAGACAGATAGATGGCCAGAGTGTTTTGTTTAGTTGAGGTCTCTTGTTAATCCTGCCCACTGCTATTGGACCCTAGAAGATTTTCGGGCGTTGGGGAAATGGAACACTATCTTTTTCGGCGGTCGCCAAGCAAAAAGAAAACACGTCTTGCAGAAGACCCTACCAAAGCCTAGTTTTGCTCCGAGCCCGCCCTCACGGCGGCGGGCAACCGCAAACAAGGCTGTTGTATGCTGTTGTACTGTGTCGGATCCAAAAAACCATTCTGGGCAGACAGCTAGACAGCTAGGCATCTTGGAAGCTAGGTAAGTAGGTAGATAAGTAGTGGCAGATAGGTAGGCAGGCAGATAGAAAAATGTTCTGTCCTGAAAATGCAAGTCGCAATCTCCCTTCTGTAGTCCATGACATATCGGATTTTGCGAATCGCAAAGATCGACAGCACGGCAGGAAGATGCGAAAAGCCGCGCCCTTTTTCGACCGCAGGTGAAGCCGCAAGTCAAGCAAATGGTCACTTACAGCAGCAGACAGCGATCTGGCCGTGACGTGCTGCAGCCGTCACCGCCTAGACTGCTACAGGGCCCAAGGAATCGCAAGGGACAGGCCGTGCGGGTGAATGGTACCTTAGATTCTGCAGATTCCGAGCGACCTGAACTCTGGAGTTCTGTCGCCATTCCCGTGCTTCGCTACGCAAGGCAACTCGGTGGGCGTCTGAGGGCCCGGGGGCGGAGGCACCACAACTCAAGGAGATCCTCACTGAAGCCGCTTTCGGCTAGACTCAAGAAGCAAAAATCCTTGCGTGAACACTGCACTTGGCAGGCGATGCTCGTCAGACGTCAGCAGCGGCACCTGCGACACAACACATTGGTCTTCTGAGAGGTCTACCATTCCTCGCAATTTTGCATCCACGCCCTCTTCCAGCTGTCAACCCGCCCCGGCGCCAGAGGTAAAATAGTCGAAGCGACATGAAAAGTTGACCCAAGTTGCCTCACCACGACACTGCCGGTCCGTGCCAACTTCTGACTGAAACGGCAGCGAGGGAGTCGGGGGCGAGCAAAGAACGGATTGAGATTCAAGCTTCCAACCACGTCAAGACCCAAATTCATACGACTGGTACGAGTGCTATCAAAGCAACGAATGCTGTCGCGACCCCAAGTGGGCAGCGGTCCAGGATCGTGTTGACTTGCCGTGAACTCTGCTGGAGAACAGCTGGCGCTGCCTCGCAAAGGCAGTTCGGACACGAGGTACACGGCAGAGGTAAGGCTCCTTGGAAGCTCCTTCAGGGGCTAACTCAGCTCACTTGGCGGTGGCAATTGCAAAGTCTTGCCGACTCG